CCCCAAAACCCCAAAACCCCAAAACCCCTTCCCACACCTAAAAACTGAATTACTCCTTAAATTCCCACCTCCAAATTCCTCTTCCTTCACAACCCAGTAAAACCTGAAGCCAGTTGTCTCCATGTTCTGGGCTGAGAAGATTCTGGTCCAGAATATTGGCTGGGCAACAGAGGGTGAAGAGGGGAGGACTGGGTTGAAAGTGTCGTTAGGGTTGAGGTTAAGGTGGGGTAGGAGGTTGGGGAGAAGAAGTGAGGGGTATGTGGCTTTGGTCATTTGAGGTGAGCTTTTTAGATACAGAAGTCATAGATCAGAGCAGCAGTTATGGTAAAAGGAGATTTTGACAACATAATGATAGTAACAATAATAATTAGAATAAAGTTATCTTATCATCCACTACGTTTAATAAATGACAGAAGTATAAGATAATAACGCTTTTGCTATAACTAGTCATTATATATTAACAAGCTTATTCTGAGACACATCCAAAATCATGAACTGACCAAAGAGACTCTTCCTCAAGAGGAGTAAGTTTGAAGTATACAAATTCTTACTAATAATAAAATTTTGAGCGTTCATCATCAAATATTCTTAGGAATAGATCAACTTGCATATATCAGACAAGAATTCTCACTTTATATACTCAGTTTGTTTATATTTAGAGAAATAAGTAATGATCTAGAGAAGAAAATTATGCTATCAGCCCCAAGTAAGAGTAAACTGAAGAAATAATGGCTCAAAGCCCTCTTCCTCTATTTCTCAGGAGGATTTCATGGTAGACATATTTTGTATTTTGCTCCTGATCCATTAAATATTTCTCTTTCTTCAAAGAAGTGAGCAAAATTATCGATTCCTTACCTTCAAAAGGAGGGAAATATTGATTTCATCGTTGAAATTAACTAATCCAACTATTTTAACCAAGTTGACTGGGTATCTACCCTTTGTATACATAGAAGAGTACACCAATGAGCAATAGGAAGAATCATAACTTGATGAATAATCCACATCAGCTAGATTGGGAGCGATTTTGGGTTACTTCGTAGGTATGGTCTCCTGAAACTGATAATATCGTAGTCCCATTAGGATTGAATCAGATATTAGTAATTGGCATTTTATGCTTCTTCTCACTTCTGTAGACACTCATTGAATTAGCATTGACAGCAACTACATGTCCATTATTAGTTCCAATAGCTGCATTACTTCCATCAGAGCTGAGATCGAAGGCACATGAAGGTCCAGTGTGGACTGGTGTTGTGTCAATAGGATCAAAATTCTCAGACTTTGCATCCCATTTTATTAAATAACTTCTTCCTTTAAAGCTAGTAGCAAGTGCATAGAGGAATCTTGAATCTGGTGAGAATAAAGATCCTTTGAATTTTAAATTCTCCATTCCAATACCTTCACTAAATGATAATCTCTTGATGCATTTTTCATCCTTGAGAGTATAAATCCGGCAAGTTTTATCTGTGGAGGCAGAAACAACTAAGGAATTGTCAGAGTTAATAGAGATGTCTGTAATTCCTTCACTATGTTGTCCTAGCTCGTTAGTAAGTTCAAAACCAGAGACCTGATTTGGGGCAGCAAAGTTGACTTTAAATACTCTCAAGATTCCTTCTTCTCCTCCTGATATGATAATTTTATTATCTTGTGACCATCTTGTTTTAGTGACTTCTGGTTCTTTCTCATGAAAATCAGCTTCTATTCTGTCAATTTCGCTTACTTCTCCAGATTTAGAGTTGATAGAGAAGATGGCCGCAAATTTGCTAATAGCTCCCACTATATAATCAAGACCATTGTTTGCCATCTCAAATTGGGACAGAAGCTCTGTATCAAAATCTACTTCTCACACTGGGTTTTCTAATGGAAGTTGGTTCTTATAAACTCTCAAGGAGTTTGGGAGACCATAGTTCTTTCCACCACCACCTCCAGAAACCAGTACATAACCTTTATGAACTCCAATCCCGAACAAAGGCGAATTTAGATTGTTCTTAGATCTTTCTTTTGCCATAGTTTAAATAAATGTCAATATATTGCTACCTGTTTGGGGTTTTGGGGTTTTGGGGTTTTGGGGTTTTGGGGTTTTGGGGTTTTGGGG